CCAAGCGAGTGGCTGTACAGGTTGTGGATGTTGTGGAGAATGCCCAGCACAACTTCAGTCTCATCCTCGTCCACGCCGAGTGATATTTTGTTAAAGACCAAATTGACAAGAGACTGCGGCTCTCTTTTTTTTATCTCTGAAATCTCGAGTCTGTCGCAGAAAATGGAGAACACGTCTGAATTGGCCTGCCATCCTCTGTTTCTGGTGTACAGCACAGTCTCGCTGCTTTTTTCTATCTCCAAAACAAGAAAATACTTCATCATTTCCATCGAGGAGCACTTTCCTATTTTGATGTCGTATCCTTTTGTCCTGTTCTCCATTGTCTGCGCTGTTTTGTGTATCTTCGCTATGAGATGCGACACTTTTTCAGAGCCTGTGAGAAGTATCATGTTGTACTGGTCGTACTCTACGTCTCTGTATTCGCTGACAGCATGTACCTTGCTCTCTGTGGGCATGACGTAGTACTCTGCGTTCTTTATCAGCTGGTCACTGTGGCACGGAATACTCTCAGGTGAAACCTGAAAAAGCAGCCATAGGGTGGAGACAGCTAGAGCTGCGAGGATAGAGCCTGCGGTAAGCTGCACACTTTTCTTGCTTTGGGAGACCCATTGGAAGACACGAACAACAAGCATGAAGTATTTCCGAATTAAATTGTAAATAAAAAAGAGTGGAAGACCCAGAAGTACAAATTAATATTTATTGGCCATACTTTAAAAGTGAACTGCATTTAAATTAAAAAATTTATGCAAAGTAACTTGTCCACATTTTAATTACATGCCAACTGTTAATTTAGATTTAGGAAGGAGATGGAGCCAACTCTAACTATTTGTGGACCAATATTATGAGTTTGGCTGCAGACCAATACATTTCTTTATTCCATACAGCCAATAGCTAACAGAATCAAAAAAACTAAAACTATTCGTCTAATTACAGTTAACAGCTCTCCTAAGGGGCGTTTTAATTGTATAAATTGATCTAATTTACGAAGTGCTAGATATTTACGATGGAAGAAGCCCATGAAGTAGAAATAAAGCTAAAAGGACACAAAATCATAGAAGCATGCAAAAACATCAACAAAGACAGAGTAGTTATCGAAGCAAGCAATGATACTATTAAAGACTTTCTCTATATAATAGAAAAGGTGTTTTCTAACGATAACGTTGAAGTTACAGCCAAAGATCTTAGCGCAGAAGAGAAAAGGTCTCTTATGAATATTATTAGGAAGAACTTATACAATAGAAGCATATTTGATCGAAAAATAGAAAGGCTAATGCAAACTTTAAAAGTTGCAATATCGATTGGAAAAGAAGATATAATTGAAAAAAAGGCTATATCTACAATCAATGAACTTATAGAGAAAAATGTATTCGAAGCACAAAAGTGTGGTGTTTACGAGAATATGACAGAAAACCCTGCACATCTAAGTGAGTCTTCTCTTGACAGCACAGTATTCAAACTAGCGGTTAAAACAGCAAATACTGCTGTAGGTGCAACCGAGCTATTGCAAGTAGCTTCAAAACAAATAGACAGCTATGTGTATTCACGTGTTTTTAAAGAGGACAAAGAGCTGGCTGATCTAATGAGCATCAAAGAGCACTATTCAGACGAAAATGGGCTATATGATCTGGATGAGTTGTATAGTGAAACATTGGGAAATGGAAAAAGTTTAGTAGAGCACGGGCTGCAAATTATTTATGAAAAAGCAAATGAAATAAAAGAGCTGAGAAAAGCAATTGAGGACAGCAATGGCAATCCTGATGATATACAGAAGATATTCAGTGCGAATTTTATAGATAAAAACGACTTGAAAATACTCATGTCTCTCATGCAGCATAAAGATAAAATCAGAAAGGAAAGATCTATTTTCAGAAGCATTCATAGAATAATAGCAGAAAATAATATGCAAAATACTGAAACAGCACGCCTTGATAAAACTGTAGACGAAGTAGACTTTTCAAATCACGGCTCGGTCTGGGATATTATGGAAAGCATAATAACACCAGTAGATGTACAACTTTTAGCACAGTGTAGTAAAATGCGTACAGAAATAGAAAAGTCAACTGAAAATTATGAAAATTATGATGCTGAGATAAAGAAATGGCAAGCTGAAAAGTCTAATGTTTCCGGCTATAAGACAAAATTAAATGCAAAAAAGAAAAAGAAAAGAGAGCTAAAAGAAATAAATGAAAGCAATATAAAAAAATTAGAAGAATTAAAAGCTAAACTCGAAAAATTTGGATTA